TTTTCATATCATTGTATCCATCGATTCATACGGACGAGGGTTTTTTGGATTATTTCCCCACATGGAATTATTTTATGGAAAAAACAACTTGATATTCTTTTTCTGTGGATAATTACGGACTTATTAAGTACAACTTTTCATGGATTGAATGCGTTTTGGACCGACAGAACCGGCTCAAAGGTAAGAAACGTGTATCTTATTCTTTGTTTATGATGTGAATTTTTAAGTTATAGCGTTTTGGGCTCGTTGTATGGCATAAAATGAATGTTATGGTTGTTTTATTGAGAAATTAAGCTTTCAAACGATGTATGGCATGCCAGTAGTGAAAACAATAATGAAGGTGAAAATACAGAGTGAACATTTTTTTTTGGAAAATCGCCCGCCGGCGGGCGGGTGGATGGTAAGTGGTTTTAAACTTCATCCTACTCCAGGTCCCAAAATCTGTACATGTACATTGGTTTGTTTGTTAGTGTTGTTGATTTTGTTTTACCTTGCTCAAAAAAAACAACAAAACAAAAAACAGGTATAAACCAGGACTGAGTGTCTGGACGGGCCCCTGTAGACCATCGGGTGACCTCAAGAGAAAGAACCGGAGCAGAGCGAAAAATTCCCTCTACACCACTGGGTAAAATGATAAAATATGTTTATTTTGTAATTCCAAATGAGCTTCAACAAGCCGGTCAGAATCAAAGGGCCAGAAGCTGGACAATGCCAAAGTCTGAACAAGTCCAACACATGAGCCTTAGATTTTCTTCACCAGCTCCTGACACTTCTTCAGTTTCTCTTTCAGTTGGGAGATCAGCTTTGAGTGAGTCTCTGATTGGAGCTGGGACACCAGGTCCATCACATCCTTTGCCAACACGTCCAGCTCGTCCAGACTCTTCCACCTGCTTTTCCAGGAGGACAACCACTCAGTATTTCGTACAGCCTCCAGCGTCTGCTTCAGGGTGTTCACTTTGTACTTCAGCTCAGTCGCCAGTCTGTCCAGTTCTCCTACAGCTTTAGCAGGGCTGGGTTGTTCACACCAGCGGACCAAAGCAGAAAAACAGTACAGGATCACCACTATCAGGGTGACTATCACGGCAGTGGTCACATCAAATTCCTCGACCAAATTAGAAATCACTATCAGGCAAAGAAATATAAATATGACAGGTTTCCATCCTGGAAGGCACAGAACCACATCGAGTTTCTCTGTGCAGTTCTGCATTTGTTCGATGGTGATGTCGATTTGACGTTGAAGTGGCATCGAAAGCTCAGACATCTCCACACTGGTTTGCGTTGCCATCTTTATCTCTGGACAAAAAAAAGTAACATTTTAAACATATGAATTAAACTGCTGCGATAATAATTATTATATTATTTTATTATAGACATTATATTTCTCCTAAAGCTACTATACATAATTACAGAATACAACAGGGGCGGGTTGTATTCTTAAGTAACATCGCTCGCTCCTCCTCATCTCTCCAGCTCTCTGCTCCCTCTACTCGTCTCATCACCATGAGGAGCAAAGCCTTCAGTCGCTCTGCTCCTCTGGAGCACTCTCCCTCCTGACCTCCACAACACTCACTCACCAGACACACCTGTTCAGACGATTCACTCCACCGCACCACCAGACCATAACTGCACTGTCCCACTTTAACTGTAGGTTTTTTAATTCTATTTAACTTTGTTTATGTTTGGTATTTGTTTATTGTTTTAAGGCCAGAAAGGCGCCTAATAAATAAAATGTAATATTATTATTATTATTACACTGGTGTAACTGGAGTCATTAGACGTCCGTTTGCAGTATATTACCATTTATAACTTGTATAGTGTCTTGTTTTAATTCTTTTTATGCTGCAGAATCATTTTGAGTTTATTGGGTCATTTGCAGCAGCAGCTCTACAAGGACAAAAACTCTACAGGTGTAACAACTCAGGAATTTCACATTGATTTACAATTCAGGACCTCAATTCACCAAGATATGTAAAATTAAAAAATAATTATTCATGTAATAATTAGGGATGTCAATCTCATCCTGATCTTCTATTTATTTATTTTTTTTATTCAATTTAGTCTTATAATTCAATATCTTATAGTGAATTTAGCCCCAACTGAATAAAATTATTACAACAAATGATTAAGATATTTTATTTATTTATTATTATTGTTATTATTATTATTATTATTTTTTTTTTATAAATAGGCCATTTTTATAGACTTATCTGGGAATTATTGAAGCCCTTTTCTATGGAAGCCAATTTCTACCAGTAAATAAAAAAGCCTCACAGAAAGTCATAATTACAAGTTTAAAAGTCATAATTACAAGTTTAAAAGTCATAATTACGAGTTTTAAAGTCATAATTATGAATTTTCAAAGTTGAACCTGCTCTCTCCGTGCAGCACGTGGGCTGGCACGACTATTTTCCTGTAGAAGCCACGAATGAACCCACTACAAGTAAAAATGTGTATTTATTTTACTAATTCACTTCACACTGTATCTAAATTATTTGCTTTGTGCCCATATTTTCATCACTGAGCGACCTGAAGTAGCTTGTGCCAAGTGCCCAGCAAAGCTCATACATTTTTTTCACCATATTATTTTAGTTTGAGGACTATCTGTCACCTGACAGCTTTAAATAAAACACTTATTTTAGTTTTAGTGACAATCTTTGCTCATCTGATCAGAAACGATCATGGATCTACAATAAAATCATCTGATTCTACTTCTACTTCTCCAGCGCTGTGTGTCTAAACTCCTCCTTCCTCTGCGCGCGCACAGACCGGAGACACTTGATCTTCTTTAGAGTCTGGATGATCATGACGCAGTTCTTCATGTCTCAAACTCTACACCACTTTTTATTTGCTGAAAACTGACCTCACATTAGCGGAGATACGTTCATAAATTCCAGATGAAAAAGTTCGTAACGGTGCGTAACCCCGGCGCGCGCGCGCGCTACACGAAAATAGAAATTTATCTCATGATAAATAGAAGATAAAACCTGTGTTCAGACGTCCTGATAAAGGCTAAAGTCTGTAGTGTTCGTCCTGTTCTGAATCAGACTGAAGCCTCCTGTCTGTGGGAAGTGACAGGGGACATAGAAACTGTCAAGAAAATAACCCACGATAAAATAAATATAGGCAACATTGTCTTTTATTATTGGGGTATAGTTTAGTTGACGGATAAAATGCAGTATTATATTCAAATATTAACACAAATCATCGGTTAAAAAGTACAAACATCGCCCCCCCCGACCCGGTGTTTTCTTTTTGATAACCCCAGTCTGTTCACCCTGTAGAAAAGCCAAAAACACAACATGATTTACCTGCAGATCAGCCGCACGATCCTCACCAAACTGCGCCCTGCTCCGAAAAACAAAAGTGAAACTAACAGACGTGGAACGGAAATAAAGACAATAGAAACTCATTTTATAATCCTCAGTTCCGCGTTAAACTGCTTCAACAACATTCACTTGCACCTTTGAAAACGAGTCATTTTCAGTATTTTGCAAAAGGTGCACTTTGTAATTTAAAGACTTTCTCACTTCAAACCAAAACATTTTAACAATTTATTTAAACGTTTTTCTTCATGAACATATTGAAAAAATTGATCAAATTAAATGTATTTTTGTATTCTGAAATGTGCTAAAACGTACTTAGAACTGTCGCAGTTCATATAAAAGTGTATAACATTTCATTTCAAGCATTTTAAACATTATGTAGAGAGTTATTATTAGAGTTATCTGGGGCCGGGTCACGGGGTCAACAGTCTAAGCAGGGACTCCCAGACTTCCTTCACCCCAGACACTTCCTCCAGCTCTTCCAGGGGGACCCCAAGGCGTTCCCAAACCATCCTAGAGACATAGTCCGTCCAGTGTGTCCTGTGTCTTCCCCAGGGCCTGGGAACACCTCAGAAGGCACCCAAGAGGCATCCGGAACAGATGCCCGAGCCTCAGCTGCTCGTCTCAACATGGAGGAGCAGCGGCTCTACTCCAAGCTTCTCCTGTGTGACTGAGCTTCTCACCCGATCTCTAAGGAAGCCCCCAGACACTGGCACTTAGCTCCATTTTAAAAATCAAATCTAAACAAAATCATGGAAAAAAAATCTCACAATCTTCTAATCTCGAGGCAATTTTGTCCCTAATTATTAAACAAATGCTCAGTGTTGTGCAAGTTCACACTTTTCATTTACTAATTCAAATTCAGTTGGCCATACCAGCTTGTCAAAGCCTGATCCCATCAGATCTCAGAAGCTCAGCAGGCTGGGCCTGGGGAGGACCTGGATGGGAGACACTAGGAAGTCCAGGTGCCACAGTGGGACGCCACTGGCAAGACCTTAGGGAAGACACTTCACCCACATTGCCTAGTATGAAAGTTGTGTGTGTGTGTGTGTGTGAGTGATGGTGGTGGTTGAAGGGGCCGATGGTGCAGATTGGCAGCCTCGCTTCTGTCAGTCTGCCCCAGGGCAACTGTGGCTACAATAGTAGTTTACCACCACTGAGTGTGGAGTGACTGAATAATGAACTGTAAAAGCTCTATATAAATGCAATCAATCAATCAATCAATCAGTTCATTTTCTTGGTTGCTGGTGAGGCTGTGCAGTTTTCAGTTTTTGAGTGGAGCCCGTGGGCAGTGACAGCGACACATGCAGTTTATAAAGTCCGAGCAGACCTTGTCACTCGACTCATCAGGTGAAAACAAATTCCGATGTTTATTTGAACCCCAACAGTGACGTACGTCCTTCATCTCACAGAATCTGAACAAATTCACTTCTTGATTTACAAATGTGTCATGTTCAGTTCAAAGTTCACTGAAAAATGAACGCGTTCTTTTGATGCTATAGTATTAATCAGTGGTGGAATCTCACTAAGTAAAAGTAGAAAAGTACTGCACTTACATAAACATTTAAGGCATCTTTACTTAAGTAGATTTTACAGTGAATACTTTTTTACTTTTACTTCACTACATCTGAGAGCAAGTATCTGTACTTTCTACTCCACTACATTTTTGAACACGACTGAAAAGTAAAAGTTTTTTATTGTATTTTGAGACCTGCTGAAAAGACCGAGGGTTTATTTTTACATACATTTGTAATTTGAGCCAAAACAAATAAAACCAAACAGAAGACAGCATGAAAACAACAGATTCAGTTATTTCGACTGCACAAAATCTGTAATCCTATAAGACCTTTACTTCACTCTTCAAGTAGTTTAAACAGGTACTATAATGCTTTTACTTAAGTCCAGGGTCTCCAACTTGCAGCTCACCACCCAATTCCAAGTTGCTCACCAAAGGATGTAGGAGTTATACATATTACATTACAATTTAAATTTGATTATTAACATGTCTGTTTTCATAGTAAATGTCTAATATTGTGCACTGACATTGATTTATGGTTTATGTTTGTTGGCATCTAAAAGGTAGTTGTGACCTTTTATATTGGCTCAATTTCGTGCAAAAGCTGAAGTCGGGCGTACACTGCGATTTTTGACCCTTTTTGAGCCGATTTTTCTCTCGTTTGACTGTTTTGGGGATCGGGCCGAGTTTTGGCTTCATCGTGTGTCGTGCTTCGTGTAGTAAAAACCGATTTATACCTCACGACCAGCTCCCGATCTGCATTCGTAGATCGCAAGAAAATCAAACTTGTGTGAAATCCAGTCGCCTCTCGTGAGGGTTTCGCTCTGTTGAAGTCGTTCCACGAGTTGATTTGCCAGAATCTGTCAGACTGAGCATGTGCGGACACAGAAGAGGAAGCAGGATATGAGGTTGTGGAGGACGATGGCGCCGGCGAGTGTTTTGGACACAGGACATGGAGGCGCAGCTAATCGAGCAACACAGAACAGAAGTTTGGTGAAAAACTTGATGCACCAGTTTCCTCTGAAGAACTGACAACCTGCACTGCCCACGTCTGCCCAGACATTTCTTTGACCATATTCGTCGCCTCTTCTTTTTCTTTTTGGGCTCGTCTGTGCAGAGACTGGCACAATGACGAAACCCCAACCCGAAAAGTTCCACAGCGCACCTTTAAGAATACGTTTTACAATTAATGATATTGTACAGAAAAATACAAATAATAAAAAGCACCATTGGTTCCAGTATTTGGTTTTTTTTTGTTTTTTTGTTTCGTAGTTTTAAATATTCGGGGGGTGCTCCACGTTCAGTCGTCTGTTTTTTGCCTGGATCAGCGTTGTGTCTCCGCACGTCTGTAGTTTTCTAATTTCGTGTTTTTTTACTTCCAGAACAACAACTCCTGTCGTTATGTGAACGTACAGTGTGCACAGGCAGGTCACATTTAAGCATCGTTTCGTACAGTGTGAGAACATGATTCGTGAGCTGTGAACTTTTAAACCCTGCGATTCGGTCGTACAGTTTAAGCTGGGGCTGAGTGACACGACTGAAAATATCGCACAGTGTACGTCCGGCATAAAAGGAGAAGCTCTCTGACACTTTTGGTTTGTAGAAGAGGCTCACCGGGGGTAAAAGGTTGGAGACTCCTGACTTAAGTACATTTTTACTTTTCCTTGTGGCACTTTTACTTTTCCTTCAGTATTTTTTGGCTCCATATTTGTGCTTTTACTTAAGTAACAAAGTTCAGTACTTCTTCCACTACTGCTATTACCGCAGCGTCCATGTTTGTAGTTTTTACAATATTAAGGCGTCTACAGTACTCTGACAATCTGCAAAAAAAACTACTACACAAGTCATTCAAGTACCTCAGGGTCTTTAAACATCGTCTTTTAGCAGCTAAACAAGCAAAAGAATTAAGTGTAGTAAATATTTAGCAGAAGTGGTATATTCTACATCCCCTGGACACAAAGAGATACAGAAAGTGTGGCCTAAAAGTGAACTGTGTAACTTTTCTGGTGGAGGAATCTGTGTGTCATTTGTTTTTTAAAATAAAAACAAAAATAAGAAAATGAAAAAACAACTATTTTATTCACTATTTGTCTCCAAAAGTGACTTAAGTGACTAAGTGACTTAAACTGCAATGCCGGACTGAACCAGGACTGAACCAGATCCGGGACCAGACCAGGACAGAGACCAGGACCAGACCAGGACTGAGCCGGGGACCAGACCGGGACTGAGACCGTGATTGAGACCGTGATCGAGACCGGGACCAGACTGGGACTGAGACCATGATTGAGACCGTGATTGAGACCTGGACCAGACCGGGACTGAGACCGTGATTGAGACCGTGATCGAGACCGGGACCAGACTGGGACTGAGACCATGATTGAGACCGTGATTGAGACCTGGACCAGACCGGGACTGAGACCAGGACCAGACCGGGACTGAGACCGTGATTGAGACCTGGACCAGACCGGGACTAAGACCATGATTGAGTCTGGGACCAGATCGGGACTGAGACAGTGACTGAGACCGGGACTGAAAACGGTTTAGTCCCGGTTCAGTCCAACATCGCAGTTTAAGTCACGGAAACGGGAAATGGCCGTTATCCGTTTTTCCATTTTTCATTTAAACACAAAATCGACAAATAATGAAGAAAATTTTTGTTTTTTTTCTCATTTTCTTATTTTTGGTTTTATTTTGAAAAACAAATGAACGAATGACACACAGATTTAGAGGGTCTGTCAAATGCTTTTCAAATGCGGGTTCGGGCTGTAAACAGTGTCCTCCAGTGCTCATGCGGGACACTTTTGGGGCGTTTAAAGTTCACACACAAGTCGCATTTAATTTAATAACAAGAAATGTGAAGGACCTCGCAAAAAAAATCGGATTTCACCAAAAAAATCCGAGTTGAGCGTTAAGCCCTGCAGTCTGAACGTAACCTTAGATTGCATTGTTTTTCCGAGGTATTTTTGAGTAATCCAACAAACGCAAAATGTTTAAAACTACAGCGAGGAACGTCCCAGGTGAGGAAATATAAAAATTAAAATATAATCCACCCACCAGAAAAGTTACACAGCGTCCCTGTAAGACACTTTTGACCTTTTTACATGAACTAGAAAGTTTTAAAGACAATAAACGCTTTTAATTTCACCAACTTGTTACTATATTTAACCAGAATTGACAAAATTCCTTTTCATTGGTGTGATAATATTTGAGATTTCTTAACAGTGAAGAATTTGGGCTTTCAAGGAAAAAAAAAAAAAAAAAAAAAAAAACATGCTCTAAAAACATTTCAAGTGTTCAAATTTTAGTGCTAAAACTCCCTGTATTCATTTATATATTACTTAAAATATAAATAGCAAATGGGAATTACATACAAAAATGAATTCTGTGGCTTGATCACATTTTAAAAAAGGGGAAATTAAGGCTAAAAACGAACTACAGCGGACCACCGTACTGCTTCAATACTGCGTCAAACTAGTGTCCCATTATGTAACCATGAGGCACGTTCGCAACCGGTAACGTGCACTAAATCAAAATTCATCTTTTGATCATTTTTAAAGGTGCGCTGTGTGTAACTTTTCTGTCGGAGAGTCCGTCAAACGCCGCTTTTCGAGGTATTTTCGCGCTGTAAAACCACCTGTAATCGAATAAACGGACGACGGGATGACGAAACCCCAACCCGAAAAGTTCCACAGCGCACCTTTAAGAATACGTTTTACAATTAATGATATTGTACAGAAAAATACAAATAATAAAAAGCACCATTGGTTCCAGTATTTGTTTTTTTTTGTTTGTTTTTGTTTCGTAGTTTTAAATATTCGGGGGGTGCTCCACGTTCAGTCGTCTTTGGGCGGATCCCCGTTTTCTCCCGTTGGGGGCAGCGCTGAGCGAGTTGGCGGGGGAGGCCGGGGTCTGGAAGAAGGACTTGGAAGCGGACGTCATGTTTTCTTTAGGAGTCTGAGGCGTCTGAAGAGAAAAGGAAAGAGGGAGAGAAAAAGAGAGATATGTTAAAGTACAAAGTCTGTGTGAGCTGGACCCAGTCAAGCAGAAGTAAACATCAAGGCCAAAAATTCAAGTTAATGCATCTGATATAAAAATGTATTGAACAGATACATATGTACTCTAGTTTATGAAACTGTTTACCTTTTTTCTGTACCATTTTTGGTTCTAAAGTTCCATATGTTTTAAACAGACCATGTATGAAACATGGAACAAAAATTATTTCCCAAATTTCAAAGACCTGAAAAATCATGTAAATAAATGGATGTATTTCATCATATCTTGTGTTATTCCATCTTTGAACTGTTGATGAAGGTACATGATTTTTTTATTTTTATTTATTTAAAATGATAAAAATTTGCTTGGAAGGACTGACATATTTTATAGAAATAGTTTCCTTTCATTTTGAAGTAATATTAAAGTATTCAGAAGAAAAAAGTTGACAAATTATGTAAAATCCTGCACCTTCTACTTGTTTGTACAATTTTCCCTCTGTTACTTTTCCCTCCGTTACCATGACTTTTATTAATAAAAAATCTCATGACTCAAAAAGTAAGAGGTTTTTCAACCTAATCTTGTACCATATGGTAGAAAACTATATGAAGCAAATATTCAAACCAGTTTGTTAAGGATATGTAAGTGAGAACCAAGAGTTATCACTGTTTGGATTTATTGCCCAAAAAGTGCTGCATATTTCATTCCCTCCGTTACCGACATGAGTTTTTTTAATTTTTTGTCAACAACTTGAAAGAATATCACAGGTTTAACTTGACCCTGTTGGAGTGTAACTCTTTCCTACATTCTGATACTTTACTTATTTCAATAGTTCCTCTAGTTTCTGAATAAGAGACATTTGAATGTAAAAAATCTGCCTCTGTTTCCCTCCGTTACCACTTGACCAAACCCATGTACAAGTTTCCTTTCTCTAAACAAGCAACAAAACTGTGGCACTGTAACAAAATTCTTTTGTTAAATATACCAAAAAATACTCTTGGCGATATATCTATAGAGCAGCCCAAGATATCGATACTGTATCATCATATTAAATGATACGATATATCGATATTTCAATATTTTTGCACACGCCTAGACATAAGAATATTTTTTTTCACATCTGAAAATGTATCGAAACTGAATCCATTTCGTGACCCGTGTATTGAGATGTGTGCCGAATCATTGGAAAAAATGTATCGTTGCATCACTAGTAACTGATAACCTCGATGAGCTTCATTTGACTGGAGCTGAATGTCAAACTCACTCAGTCCATTTCTTTATACCAATCCAATCCATCCAATCCGGAATAGTATTGAATAATAATTGGGGGAGTCTATATTTTTGATTCCAGGCAACAAAACATGGGAAAAATATGGGAAAAACGGACTCACCATTGCCTCTAGCGCCGCCCCTCTGGCTGAACGTGGTGTTGACGCTCCGTACACTCTGGTCTGCTCCGGGGTGGAGGGGGTCCCGACCAAAATCTGCCCCGGAGACATCACCGCGGGAACGCCGAAGCTCAGTTTGGGGTGGGCTTCGGAGCCGGGGGGCGTCCGTATGGGGCTGGTGATGAGCGGGTAGGGGGGCAGAGTGGAGGGGGGCAGGAGGAGGTACGGAACAGCCAACGTCGGGACAGATCCGGAGGGGAGGGAGAGAGCAGAGGCCGTGTGCGCGGACGAGAGGAGGAAATTTAAACTGTTCAGACCTGGAAACGACGAGAAAATGTGTAAGGGTGAAGAGATTATGAAAAATTTAATCTTTTTATTGTGATATTTACAGATTTGGGGTTAAAAAAGGGGTATTTATGTAACTTTTTGGTTGGGGGTCTGTCATCTTAGGTCATTGCTCTGCCTGGAATGTTCCGCAGTGTGACTTTAAACAGCTCTACTTTACATTTATTCAATTACAGGTGGTTTTAAAGCTCAAAAATATCTAGAAAAACAGACATTGTGACTGTGAGCGGGGTCGCTTCTCCACAGATCTGGTTCATAACTTGGTCTGGTTTGGTCTCCATGGAGATAGAAAGGTTTAAAGCCACACTGTGAGACATGGCAGCACTTTGGAAACTGTTTTTTGTGTGTGAAATGTGCCACAGTATGTAAATAAAGTAGATTTGATAGTATTCGTGATTTTAAAGCCGCATTGTGTAACTTTTCCGGTGGAGGGTCCGTCAAACGCTTTTCTCCACGGCGATGTTATTGCGTCGTCCGGAATGTTTCACAGTATGGCATTAAACCTTTCTATCTTCATGGAGACCAAACCAGAGACCAAGTTTTTCTAGGTATTTTTGAGCAATAAAACCACCTGTAATTGCATAAATGTAAAGTAGAGCTGTTTAATGTCACACTGTGGAATATTTCATGTTAATTACCGTATTTTTCGGACTATAAGTTGAACTTTTTTTTCATGGTTTGGGTGTTTCCTGTGACTTATACTCTGGTGCGACTTATATATTAAAATGTTCACAGTGAAGTGTGGAGAGGTTCTAGTCTTGTGTGTCAGTATCTGCTGCTCCTGTTCCTCCTGTACCACTGTCACTTGGCTCTACTGCGCATGTCTCCTGCAGAAAGAGCCTCTGTCCTGCTGCAAGTCGTGAAATATTCAGCTGAAAACAGTAAATGAGCAGCAGAAAGAAAGTTTGGAGTGAGCGAGAAACTTGTGAGGGACTGATGGAAAGCGGGGATGGAGAACACAGCGTCACGGTAACCGGGAGGATGCACCATGAAACTTTCCTGAAGTCACTGGATGGACAAAGCCTGGACTTCAGTGACACTGAAACCATCCTGTCGGGATTCAGAAAGACCCGAATAATTCTAACTGGGACTGATGCTGAGTCTGACGACAGCGACACAGAAGAGGAAGCGGCGCTCTGTTTACCTCCGGAGGTCGAGGCCGAGTTGTTCAGAAGTGACACCGAGGATGAAGAATTGAATGGATTTAGTGATTTGGAGTGAGATGGAGAGTTTGTTAAACTTGTTCTGTCCTGTTGTTTATGTTATAGTTTATCTGAAGAACTGTTCATATGTGACGTTAACAGTCTGTTGTTCTCTCTTCTATTGTTTTTACTAGAACTTGACTTTCAACAGGAAATGTCGGTTCCTGGTCTCTGATTTTATAAAAATAAATTTCCCCCAAAAAGTGCGACTTATTGTCTGAAAAATACGGTAATTGAATTTTGATCGTGATTTCGATTTGTGTCTCAAACGATCTCCAAACTCACATAATCGAGTTGAAACGATATAAGAGATTGTAGAACAGCCGGACATATAGTTTATTTTGGATACGTTTATGTTTTTCCGAAGCCTTAAGTATATTTGATTTATTTTATGTTTTATACATCGCAAACTGCTCAAAGGTTCATATTTGTAGCCTAAATTTATTTTCAATGTGAAGGCTTTGCGTAATTTATCAATAACAGTGTTTTTTTTTAGAGAGAAAATTGCTGAATAAATACATTGTGTAACTAAAAAATAATGGTTTAAATGATCATGATTTCAATATTGACCAAAATAATCATGAGAAACAAGCAAGCGACAGACCCCCTGCCAAAAAGTTCCACAGTGCACCTTTAATTTCACTGGGGAGTTTTTTTGTGTCTTACCTGCGTTGTTGGGCACGTAGAGGTAGTGTGCGGGCTGGGCTTCACTGACGGGACTGTGACTGGACTCAGACTCTGCTCTGACCTGAAACAGAAAACAAAATGGTATTGATTAGTCGACTTAAACGATTCTGTATCTCTGTGTAACCGACCCAAACTGCACTCACAAGACGACACCTGCAGGGGGACTGTACATACTGTACAGAAAGACAGAGTAAACTTGTGAATCTGTTTAATCTTCCATTTTACATATAAATACCAAAAAAATATAATCTGCTAACTCACTCCCTTCTCTTCTCTATTTTCCTGTATCTTATTTAAATTCTTATAATCTAAATCACAGGTGTCAAACATAAGGCCTGGGGGCCAGATCCGGCCCTCCAAGACCTTTAATCTGGCCCTCGGCTGATTTTCTACTAAAATATTTTAATTTTATTTTCTATTAAAATATTGTTAATTTTCTGCGTCGTTGAGCATATCAGCGTCTCTGTACGTGGCCCCTCCCACCAGAGCAGCACAAATGAAGACTTGTCTCTTTCCAAACGCTCTTAAAGGACGATCGTTTTGACTGTTGACCGTGACACCCTCATCAGAAAAATGTCCAACATGAGAAAAGTGGAGCCGAGTGCAGGATTTTACAAGAAAAATGAACTTATTCCTATTTGCAGACAAGTTCATGTTAAAACATTGTGTTGAAATTGCATTTTTCTTAAAGTTTCAGGTTGTTCATAATATTATAATATTTTGTAAAAGAAAGAGTTCATTATTAAAAAAGATTTCTGTAATAGATTTGTGTTTCTCTGCACAAATATTTGAGCTTATTGTTATTTTTGGGGTTTATATGAGTTTTCTGATCCGGCCCCTTTAGGATCAGAGTAGGTTGGATACGGCCCCCGGACCAAAATGAGTTTGACACCCCTGATCTAAATATAATGATGTGATATGGAGACCAGTACACGAGAAAAGTTTCCTCATCACAAACAGTTGTGGACTTGTGTTTTGTTTCATTCACACAAATCCTGCAGATTTAAGCCGAGTTCTTCAAACAGAAAACACTGTTCCACCATGTGATCCATCCATCCATTTTCTTCCGCTTATCCGGGGTCGGGTCGCGGGGGCATCAGTCTAAGCAGGGACTCCCAGACTTCCTTCACCCCAGACATTTCCTCCAGCTCCTCCAGGGGAACCGCGAGGTGTTCCCAGGCCAGCCCAGAGACATAGTCCCTCCAGCGTGTCTTAGGTCTTCCCCAGGGCCTCCTTCTGCCCGAAATACCTGCCGAGGAAGGCGCCCAGGAGGCATCTTGGAGCAGATGACCGAGCCACCTGAGCGGCGGCTCTACTCCGAGCTCCTCCCGTGTGACTGAGCTCCTCCACTTGAGGCAGGGACTCTCCACCCACCTGGAGAGGACAAGAGACCTTTTTCTGGTCGAGAACCATGAGCTGATCTTCATCCCAGCCGCTTCACACTGGATGTGCTCCACTTTGTTTTGAAACTCCAGACACCTTCACTAGAATCATTTGGATCAGTTCAGTCCTGGAATTTCCAATCTCTACTGAACTAAAGGTAAAAGGAGCTGTTCACTTGAAAACTACAGCTTTTTGAGCTTTGGTGATGTAGACAGACTAATAATAAAAAGTTACTCAAACATGTGTGAATGAAACAAACACAACTCCAGGTCTGTTTTTGAGTCCTGCACCGGGTCAGGTTCCTGCGGGTGCCCGGCGTGATTAATACTGTCAAAAATCCATCATCACTTCACAGACATTTTCTACTGAGCAGAAGAAACATTGATCGAGATGCCGCAGCAGACGAACTGAACCAGGACTGAACCAGGTCTAAACTAGGTCTAAACCAGGACTAAACCAGGTCTAAACTAGGTCTAAACCAGGTCTAAACCAGGACTAAACCAGGACTAAACCAGGACTAAACCAGGTCTAAACCAGGTCTAAACTAGGACTAAACCAGGACTAAAGCAGGACTAAAGCAGGACTAAATCAGGTCTAAGCAAGGTCTAAACCAGGTCTAAACTAGGTCTAAACCAGGACTAAACCATGACTAAAGCAGGACTAAATCAGGTCTAAACAAGGTCTAAACCAGGACTAAATCAGGTCTAAACCAGGACTAAAGCAGGACTAAACCAGGTCTAAACCAAGACTAAACCAGGACTAAACCAGGTCTAAACCAGGTCTAAACCAGGACTAAACCAGGACTAAAGCAGGACTAAATCAGGTCTAAACAAGGTCTAAACCAGGACTAAATCTGGTCTAAACCAGGACTAAAGCAGCACTAAACCAGGACTAAACCAGGTCTAAACCAGGTCTAAACTAGGTCTAAACCAGGACTAAACCAGGTCTAAACCAGGACTAAATCAGGTCTAAACAAGGTCTAAACCAGGACTAAATCAGGTCTACACCAGGACTAAAGCAGGACTAAAGCAGGTCTAAACCAAGACTAAACCAGGACTAAACCAGGTCTAAACCAGGTCTAAACCAGGTCTAAACCAGGACTAAACCAGGTCTAAACCAAGACTAAACCAGGACTAAACTAAACCAGGACTAAACCAGGTAAACTAAACCAGGTCTAAACCAGGACTAAACCAGGACTAAACCAGGACTAAACCAGGACTAAACCAGGACTTAAACTAAACACCAGGTATTACACCAGGTCTAAACCAGAACTGAACCAGGTCAAAACCAGGAGTGAATGAAACAAATAAAACAAAACACACCTCCAGTTCTGTTTTTGAGGAAGGAACAGAATTATAACTTGACTTAAACCTCACAAAATATAAATAATTACGCGTCTGTACCTCGTCACTTTTCTTTAACCCGTTCACTCCCTTCTTCGCCGCAGACATCTCTTCTTCCTCCTCTTCCTCTCCTTCTCTCTTCCTCTTCCTCCCGTCCTCCCCGTCCGCCCCGTTTGACCTCTGACCCTCGGCGGTCCTGTAGAGCATCACCACAGAGGGCTGGGACAGACTGGGCAGGTAGGCCAGGCAGTGGGAGTGAGAGGAGGAAGAGGAAGAAGAAGAGGAAGAGGGAGGATTTGGATGAGGATGAGGAGGAGGAGGAGGAGGAGGAGGGTGAGAGGAGGTGAGGATCTGCCCAGAGAGAGACGACATGAGGAGCGTGGGCTGGGGTCCCGACGCTGGGGTCTGGGTCCTGAAGAGACAAAACAAAACAAATCATGGTTATAAACTTTTTAATATAAATCTAATCTAAACCAGGTCTAAACCAGGTCTAAACCAGGACTAAACCAGGTCTAAACTAGGACTAAACCAGGTCTAAACCAGGACTAAACCAGGACTAAACTAGGTCTAAACTAGGACTAAACTAAACCAGGACTAAACCAGGACTAAACCAGGACTAAACTAGGACTAAACCAGGTCTAAACCAGGACTAAACCAGGACTAAACTAAACCAGGACTAAACCAGGACTAAACTAGGTCTAAACTAGGACTAAACCAGGACTAAACCAGGTCTAAACCAGGACTAAACCAGGTCTAAACCAGGTATAAACCAGGACTAAACCAGGACTAAACCAGGCCTAAACCAGGACTAAACAGGACTAAACCAGGACTAAACCAGGTCTAAACCAGGACTAAACCAGGACTAAACTAGGTCTAAACTAGGACTAAACCAGGACTAAACTAGGTCTAAACTAGGACTAAACCAGGTCTAAACTAGATCTAAACCAGGACTAAACCAGGACTAAACCTAGGTCTAAACCAGGACTAAACCAGGACTAAACCAGGTCTAAACCAGGTCTACTAAACCAGGACTAAAGGAAACAGGTCTAAACCAGGACTAAACCAGGTCTAAACCAGGACTAAACCAGGACTAAACCAGGTCTAAACTAAACAGGACTAAACCAGGAGGTAAATCAGGTCTAAACCAGAACTAAACCAGGACTAAACCAGCACTAAACCAGGACTAAGACAGGACTAAACCAGGACTAAGACTAGGGCTGGGTATCATTAAGAAGTTACCGATACGATACATATATCTCGATACATAGGCCACGATACGATACGCTTTTCTATACAGTGAGCTTTCCATTCAATATGATTCGATACAATATATTTCACATCGATTCGATACGTACAGTACAGTGTAAAAAAGGCTAAATGATGCTCTAATACTAAAAGTCCACTAAGTTTGTGAAAAGTGAATGTGAAAAACATCCATTTTACTCAAAACAGTGAAAATGTCAACACAACTGTAGCTCTTACACAAATTAATTTAGTGAAAATATACCTAAAATACTCTCGACAATGCAAGGCTTTGGGGGCAGGAGTGCTACTTGGATATGCAAAAAATGTGCAGAATTGTTCTTTTGGTGCTCTTCAGTGCAGGGACCAGTCTCAAACACAAAGTAGGAAAAAAAAGGAAAAAAAACTTTTTGTACTTTGTACTTTTTGAGTGCCTCAGTTTTTTGTCCTACTCTTGACAATATATCGATACAGCAGCCCACAATATCGATAATGTATCAGCACATTAAACAATACGATATATCGATATTTTGACATTTTTGCACACCCCTAACTAAGACAGGACTAAACCAGGATTTAACAGGACTAAACCGGGACTAAGACAGGACTAAAACAGGACTAAGACAGGACTAAAAACAGGACTAAAGACAGGACTAAAACAGGACTAAAGACTAGGACTAAACCAGGACTAAGACAGGACTAAGACAGGACTAAAACAGGACTAAGACAGGACTAAACAGGACTAAACCAGACTAAGGACTAAACAGGACTAAAAACAGGACTAAGACAGGACTAAACAGGACTAAACAGGACTAAACAGGACTAAATCCTGCTGCGTGGACCGTGTCTCCTCGTCTTCTATCAATAATATTTTTAATTTGGTTAATTAAAGTCTGGACTTTTTCTTTTAGCAGACAAAACTTCTTATGTGAAGATTTTCCTCGTCTTTGCTTCTCTACAGCAAATCAAGTAATCCAAAGTATTCAGATTACATTACTCACTTTAAGTAATTTAATGGATTTCGTTACAAACTACATTTTGGGGTCTGTAATCTGTAATCTGTAGGGGATTACATTTTAAAAGTCACCTTCCCAACACTGTTTGGGGATGCTCTGAACTGTTAAATTTCTGGTCAAATATTTTTCTAATATTGTCAAAAGCTCTAAACAAACCTATTGATTTGAACCCTCTTACAGCGCTACTTGGGATAATAGACTCAAAAGTTGTAAAAAAAAAAATCAGAGTGTCAGGTATTACAGTTCACCCGTCTGCTTGCACGAAGATTAATTTTATTGACAGGCAGAGTGTCCTAGGGATGGGCATGATTAATCGATAATTGATCATTAAGAATTTCATCGATTACGTTAATTTTAATCGACAAACCGAATGTAGGTTGCTGTGTGTATCGTGACCAAACAGGTGTGTACATGTGTCTCTGCATCAGAAGGAGCGAGACACAAACAGTGGGTCAGTCTGTAACGAACCGAAGCACAAATGTGTATTTAACGATGATTTGTACAAGAAATTCCACACTTTCCGTTGCGTTCGGGACAAGTGTGAGTCCATGTGCACAGTGTATAAAGCAGCACATATGTTTCTGTGTCCAGTGGGGAAAAGTTTTTCCAGGTGAGAGTCGCTCAATGTGGATGACGAGGCCCCGCCCCCCTCCCCCCGTACGGTGTCCTGGTTTTGATAAACGCAAATCTGGTCACACTAACCTGTATTCACCTGAGTCATGTCTTTTAATCCAACAGAAGTTGAACCACATCAGCGACACAAGAGCTGTAGTTTTATCTTCGCTTAGTTTATGCAAATTAGTGATGCGGTTTTAAGTTTTGTTTCTGTGAGATTTGCACAAAACTGAATTAAACACATTATAATGTCAAACGGGCTGATGTGGCTCTAGAGTCGTTACGGTTTATATGTTGTAAAGTTGAATTTATTTATGCAGATTAGTAGTGCAGATAGTAATAATAATGATGATCATTTTAATATAAAAACGTTAATGATTAATCGATAATCGATCGTTAATTAAGAAAATTTCATCGAATGCCCATCCCTAGAGTGTCCCTCACTTGTGAACTGGTTCAGAGATGGTATGATGCATTTGGATCTAGAGAAAATTAAGAAACTAGAAAATTAGAAACTCTTTGCAGGGTCAGGAAGATAAATTTAACAGGATATGGTCACCTTTTATTATCTTATTTAAAGAAGGTGTCTAAACTCCTATTTAAGTCCGAGCTATACGATCGTCTTTGTAATATCCACCTTTTCAACTTAAACATTTTGGTGAAATATTATTACTTTTTGTCTGTGTGAATGTTCAGTTGCTTTTATTTTTTTTTTTTTCTGTTTTACTATCATCCAACATACAATATTAATCATCTATAAGGGTCCTAAGATGTTATTGACAAATATAATGACATGTATATTTTTGTATACCTTGCTTGAAAACCTGATTAATCTGTTTGACATGTCTGATGTTTTATTTTATGGACTGGCACCGTGTATTGGATGTCAGAAACACAATAATCAGAGTGTTAAAAATAAAAAAATAAAAAAATAATAAAACAACACCGCCCTCTAGTGTTTGAGGAGACAAATACACCCCTTCAACAGCAGCTGATTAAACTAAACACCAGGACCAGGTTATTAGAAGATGAGGAAGAAGAAGAGACTGTGAACTCACTCTGAAGTCTTCCCGAACTGCAGACGACACACTGGAGTTTTTCTGGAGTAGTCGACGGGCTGGACCTGCACCGCTGTGGGAACAAGAACAAAACACACGACTGAAAGGACAGAAATATGAACTGCAAATGAACAGAAATGTGAATAGTCTCAGTTAGGGCTGTTGTCTTTTACTCATTTACACATTTTTCATTTTATTTAGATTATAAGGATTACAAGGATTTCTAGAAGGTAAAGAGTGGGATAGCTGAAGATTTGTTATTTTTTGGTATTTATCTGTAAAAGTCTGATTCAACTCATGACTGATCTGTCTTTATATATAAATACATAGTTTTTTTTGTATTTTTTCCTGCATAAATAGTAGTTTTTGAATGAGCGCCCCCTGCAGGTGTAAAGTTGTGAGTGCAATCTGGATCAGATACACAGAAAAACAAAATAAGAGTTTAAGTTATTAGTTAATGTTTGTGCCGTCATTTCGTATACCTGAATGCATATTTGTCTTGTTTGGGACGCTGATGTGTCGTTTTATTTATTTTCAAAAAATGGAAACAGCCAAAAGTTAGAGAAGCGCGAGTTTTAATGGTTGGTAAAGTTTCGCGACTTTGCCATTATTCACTGGCTGAAAAATGGGTGCTTTGGTTAGACAAAAATAAATAAATGAATAAATAAAATAATAATATTCTGATATAAGAACAGTGTTTCACTTTTTTTAAGATGACAATCTATACATTTTTGGAAAGCTCTGGTGCATTTATACGTCATGACGACTGTCCCTGGTCACTACGGGCGAGTCACTTCGCGTCATTTCACTTTCCGGCCACTAGGAGCCGCTCTTTGTGATACTAACAGGCCCTTCACCAGCTTCTGGCGCTCAGGCCTAAATACAAAACAATTACACATGAGACATAACGCAGATCAGTAAAAAGTCAGATTAAAACAGCACGAGGCTTAAGTGGCTAGAACTCATGCCTCACAGGAAGAAAGTTCTGGGTTCGATCCCCGGGTCGCTTGGGCCTTTCTGTGTGGAGTTTGCATGTTTCTCCCCGTGTCTGGATGGGTTTCCTCTGGGTGCTCCGATTTCCCCATCAACCCAAAACATGCTACGCAGGTCTCCAGGAAGAATATCTTATATCTGAGGTCAATTAAATACAATCAAACAAATAACCTGCCCAGAGACGGCAAGTGGAAATTAGCACTGGTGTTACAACCTGGTACAAAGCATCTCTCCTCTTAAGGTTAATGTAAATTGTGCGCTGTCCCTGTCACATTAAATAAATAAACTAAATAAAAGTGCTCACAGGCTTGGTTTTCCTTTAATCTAGATTACATGGACTACAGCTCTAAAAAAAGACGATGTCCAATGAACAAAAGCGGCTTAAACAGTGCGTACCTGCGTGCTGTTCCCTGCGTGGACTGTTGGGGGCAGAGTTCACTTGTCTCTGAACGACCACGGACGTCGGCGTGATGTTGAACGACGCGTGACGGGACATTTTGATGCGGTTCAGATCCTGCGACGTGATCCTCTGCGACGCCTCCAGTCCAGCGGGGGGCGACGTTCCTGCGCCGTTGAACTCGGTGGGTCCCAGCCACTTAAACGCCGGCTTCCTCCCCCTCTCCTCCCGAACGTGGACTTTTTTAATGAGCCCCAAACTCGTCAGGACGTTGGCGATGTCATACAAGCGACGAACTTTAGCTAAAAAGGAAAAGCAAAAAGAGAGAACGTTTTTAACTAGATAAACAAAAACATTTCTGCACTGAGATTGAATTTTAGATTTATCTTTTAATCATAAACAAGTCTGTCACGAAGTTTTCATTTTAAACAGATCCTGAAGTATTAACAGAAGCCCTGAAATGAGTTTTTTGTAATCAGAAGAAACACCTGGTTGTATTCATGGCAGTCTTATGTGATGTCATGTAGTACTTGAAATTGTAGTGGCCACTGGAAGCAGCACACATTCAGTTTTTCAGTTTATCAAAAAGTATTGCAGTATTTAAGTACCATATTTAACAGACTGTGCAGAAATTTGGGGCAATAACTATAAAACCGCAATAGAACCATTGATAAAACTTCAAAAAAAGAGCAATAATAATTATTTATAATGTCAAATTGCATGACCACACTAATCCACTGTTTATTCACGCCAAATTACTCAAACTGAATGATTTGATTCTGTACCAAACTGCAGAAGTCATGTATAAAGCTAAAACTAAGCACTTACCAAAAAATATCCAACTATTTTTTTGTGAAAGGGAAGCAAACTATAACTTAAGAGGCTTTTTGAATCTTAAATTGCCTCGTGCTCGAACGACAAGAAAAAGTTTTTGTGTCTCTGTTTGTGGTGTAAAATTATGGAAAAACTTGAAAATAGAATTAAAACTTTGTTCAAATATACATCTATTCAAAAGGGCAGTTAAAAAATGTATTTCAAAATACTGTATGTGTGTCTATATGTGGTCTTTATTAATTTGGGACGGTAGAAAAAAGGGGTGGGGTTAAATAAGTATTTACTTCCTCCCACTCCTTTTTCGGACACAAGGAATATTCGGCGTAACATTTATTTTTGCCTATTATTATAGAATAGAAATATTTACTTTTTGTGTTATATCTATGTATTTACTTTTTTATTTATGTTCTATGTATTACTGTCCGAATAAACATTCATTCATTCTAAGTAGTTTTTGACAAATTTTGACCAGAAAGCTGCAAATTTGCCTATTCTAGAACCAGTACACAACACTATTAAAACATCATAAACAGATTACAGCATTTAGTCGAACAACAAAGTTAATTTAGAGTTTAGTTTCACTTTAAAGGGCCCATATTTCGCTGTTTTCTGATCTGTTATAATGTAGTTTCCTCGTCAAAAACAGACCTGGCGTTGTGTTTTGTTAAATTCACACGTTTAACACAAACCCTGCACATTTAGGCTGAGTTCTTCTCTCAAACTGAAAACGCTCTGTTCCACCTTGTGATGTCATACGGTAAAACAGGACGTTTGTAAACTCCACACACCTTCACCTGAAACATTTGGATAATTTCAGCCCTGGAATTGCCGATCTCTAATGAACATAAGGTAAATTGAAGCTTTTAATTTGAAAACTACAGGGAACAGACCAATTTCAGTTTTGGAACTATAAATGAACAAATAATAAAGGATTACCGTATTTTTCGGACTATAAGTTGCACTTTTTTTCATGGTTTGGGTGTTTCCTGTGACTTATACTCTGGTGCGACTTATATATTAAAATGTTCACAGTGAAGTGGTGAGAGGTTCTAGTCTTGTGTGTCAGTATCTGCTGCTCCTGTTCCTCCTGAACCACTGTCACTTGGCTCTACTGCGCATGTCTCCTGCAGAAAGAGCCTCTGTCCTGTCTGTATCATGTCAGTCGATCGCACCATTACTTCTGCACCACTGAACAATTTAAACTTTAAACAAACTTATAAAGGCGATGGAGAAGACTGAACACAAATTTCCCCAAAAAGAAAATAATTTTTTGCAGATTAAACCAGGACTAAAGGTGAAATATTCAGATGAAAACGATAATCGAGCAGCAGAAAGAAAGTCTGGAGTGAGCGAGAAACTTGTGACACCGGGAGGACGCACCATGAAACTTTCCTGAAACTGGAAACTGTTTTTTGTGTGAAATGTGCTACAGTATATGAATAAAGTAGATTTGACAGTATTCATGATTTTAAAGGTGCATTGTGTAACTTTTCTGGTGGAGGGTCCGTCTAATGCTTTTCTCCACCAAGATGCTGTTGCTTTGTCAGGAATGTTTCACAGTGTGGTATTAAACCTTTCTATCTTCATGAAGACCAAACCAGACCAAGTTTTCTAGGTATTTTTGACCGATAAAACCAGCTGTAATTGAATAAATGTAAAGTAGATCTGTTTAGAGCTGGTGTGACTTATATATTAAAATTTTCAGAGTGAAGCAGCGAGATGCTCTAGTCTTGTGTGTCAGTATTGGCTCTACTGCACATGTCTCCTGCAGAAAGAGCCTCTGTCCTGCTGCAAGTCGTGAAATATTCAGCTGAAAACAGTAACTGAGCAGCAGAAAGAAAGTTTGGAGTGAGCGAGAAACTTGTGAGGGACCGACGGAAAGCGAGGACGGAGAACACAGCTTCACGGTAACCGGAGGATGCACCATCAAACTTTCCTGAAGTCACTGGATGGATGGACAAAGCCTTGACTTCAGTGACACCGAAACCATCCTGTCGGGATTCAGAAATAATTCTAACTGGAACTGATGCTGAGTCTGACGACAGCGACACAGAAGAGGAAGCGTTGCTCTGTTTAATTCCGGAGGTCGTGGAGTTGCTCAGAAGTGACGCAGAGGATGAAGAATTGAATGGATTTAGTGATTTGGAGTGAGATGGAGACTTTGTTAAACTTGTTCTGTTCTGTTGTTTATGTTATAGTTTATCTGAAGAACTGTTCATATGTGACGTTAACAGTCTGTTGTTCTCTCTTCTATTGTTTTTACTAGAACTTGACTTTCAACAGGAAATGTCAGTTCCTGGTCTCTGATTTTATAAAATACATTTTAAAACGTTTCTTTTCTTCTTCATTATGCATTTTTTGGCTGGTGCGGTGTGTCTTATAGTTAAAAAAATACGTTACTCAAACATGTGTGAATGAAACAAAACACAACTCCAGTTCTGTTTTTGAGGAGGTAACAACATTAGAACATGGCTGAACGCTCACAAGAATCCAGTTTTGCGTATCATATAGGATCCTTTAATAATAGCTGTAGATTAGACAATAATAATTAGATAATAATAATAGTTCCTCACTCTTGTATTTGCTGTGGCTGGATGAGTCCAGACTGTCCTCGATCAGGATCTTCGCCGCCGCGTCTAACGTCACAGTTTGGGTTTTGGAGACGAGAAAAAGCATCACGAACTTCTGACTCATGATCCGCAGAGACTTGTCCTTCCTGTTGCCTCCACCTGAAACCACATTTACAACGTTAGACTTGGACTTAAAGGTGCATTGTGTAACTTTTCTGGTGGAGGATCCGTTAAGTGCTTTGCCCCAAGGAGATGTTATATTGCTCTGTCTGGAATGTTTCACAGTGTGGCTTTAAACCTTTGTACCTTCATTGAGACCAAACCAGACCAAGTTACAGGTCAGATCTGTGAAGAGGCGACCCTGCTCACAGTCAGAATGCCTGTTTTTCAAAGTATCTTTGAGAAAAAAAAAAAAAAAAAACTGTAATTGAATGACTGTAACGCTGATCTGCTTAATGCCATACTGTGGAACATTCCAAGGAGGGCAGTGACGTATCCATAGAAACAAGCAGATGACAGGTTTGTGTCAAATAAATGAAAATAAAATATAGTATCTCATGTGTCACTGGACTCCTTATGTAACAGATAATACTCCCTACAACTGTACAATCACTCACCGTTATGTAACAGATAATACTCCCTACAACTGTACAACAACTCACCCTTATGTAACAGATAATACTCCCTACAACTGTACAATAACTCACCCTTATGTAACAGATAATACTCCCTACACCCTTAGGTAACAGATAATACTCCCTACAACAACTCACCATTATGTAACAGATAATACTCCCTACACCCTTAGGTAACAGATAATACTCCCTACAACTGTACAACAACTCACCATTATGTAACAGATAATACTCCCTACACCCTTAGGTAACAGATAATACTCCCTACAACTGTACAACAACTCACCATTATGTAACAGATAATACTCCCTACAACTGTGCAACAACTCACCCTTATGTAACAGATAATACTCCCTACAACTGTACGACAACTCACCCTTTATGGAACAGATACTGTGTCCAAATAATTTCCCTTGTGGCTCAATAAAGTTTGTCTGAGTTTTAGGTTTTCTCTCACCGTTTCCTTCCTCCGCCTCGTCGTCCCTGTTGGCTGCACAGTCCCTTGCCCCTGTCGCCCCTGCCGCCCCTGTCGCCCCCGTCGCCCCCGTCTCCATCTGCAGGTGGTAGCCCTGCTCTCGTCCTCGGCTCTGGAGCTCCTTCAGCTTCGTCTCCAGGCGTCTCCGTCCGTACCACGAGTAACTGTTCTTGGCCATGCGCCCCACGATCATCAGAGACTCCAGAACGTTCACGATGTCGTAGATGCGCCGCCGCTCCACACCTGAATACACAAGGGAAGTTATTTTTTTCTATTTATTTTAGCTAAATTTGTCTTGCCCCAGTACAGATGTATTATTGGGACACACAGATACTGATACTGATATCGAATATCAGCGCCAATACTGAAAAATTGGCTGGATGGGGTAACAGTTCAATGATACTGGTTCAGTCGGTTCATATCCTGGTTGTGCTTTTCTTTGGATCTAAAAAGATTATTTACAAGCTGTTTTTGGCCTGTAACTCAGACCTGGGCATTGTCCAGCTCCTGGACCACACATGGCCCTTTTGTCGACTCTGACCGACCCGTTTAAACTCATTTGGAATTACAAAATAAACATATTGTACAATTTTACCTCATGTATAGACTAAAACTGCATCGCTTTTATTTTAGAGGTGTCAGTCACTTTATATGAAGCCGCCCTCCCCTATAAGCCATTTCACATTTAAATTTCTAAAACCACCAAATGAAAGAATTTAAAATTTTTAATTTCTAAGCATGTTTGAGAGACCATAACTTCATTTAAAAAATAGAGCTAGGAAGCTGAAAATGTGTATTATTGTAGATTTTGAATCATAGGCTACGTTCAGACTGCAAGGCTTAATGCTCAGTTTGGTTGTTTTTGCGAGGTCGTTCACATTTCCAATTAAATGTGACTTGTATGTGACTCCAGTGTGAACATTAAACGGCCAAAAGTGTCTCACATGTGACACTGGAGACACGACGACGTCAACCGCAGCGAGCGTCTCTGTGTTTACAGAAGTTGTGCATTGAGCACCTGGAGATTTTAAAGTTCCTCTCGTACCAGAGCCAGAACATGAACAACTTACTTGTTTTAAGGAGGAGATTGAAAAGGAGAAGGACGAGGTTTTTGGTCGTGGTGTTTTTGAGCACCTGGAGATTTTAAAGTTCCTCTCGTACCGGAGCCAGAACATGAACAACTTACTTGTTTTAAGGAGGAGATTGAGAAGGAGAAGGACGAGGTTTTTGGTCGTGGTGTTTTGTGGGACAGCGGCAGCGACGTCCGTTGAAAGGAACGTGTGGATGCAGGAGATGTAGCCAAGAGTGGTGAGTGGTGATGTGCTTCACTTCATTAACAATTTTCGTATGATGAGAAGAACGTTTGTGTACATTTGTGGTTTGTTGATAACATGTATGTGGATGAATGCACTTTGGCCGTCCAGACTGAAGTCACATGTCAAAAGATCAGATATGTATCGGTTTTAGGAGCACATATCCAAGTGTCCTGGGTCACATTTGAAAAAAATCGGATCTGTGTCGTTCAGACTGTCAATAAAAGATCAGATACAGGAACATAGGGGCCAAAAAATCGGATTTGGGTCACTTCAGGCTGCAGTCTGAACGTAGTCATAGATTCTGAATCTGTTGTCAAATATTGTATATCTTTATTAAGGGCGGCTCTCTAGGCTCCCAAAATCTCACATTTGGTTGCTGCTGAATTTTTTTTTTTCAATTTTTGATGTCCAAGATCTATTTACTCCAAGCAGATATTTACAAACTAACTGCTGAACCTGAATATTTGAGAGAATGACCATTTCTGACAACAATCTCACACTTTTCTGAGCTTTCATGTGGATGGTGTAGAGCAGCAAATATGGACACAGACACTTTTTTGGAGCCTCTGTTTCCCATGTGCGCACAGTTAGATGTTGATCAGATTTTTACCAGAGAAACTTTGGCATATTCTGATTAGTTTAAAGTAATAAAAAAATCTACTATTAACTTCCTTCATTTCAAACGGAATTTTTGAAAACGAGCTCTCACGGGTCATTTTTGGTGGCGCTTAGGGACTTTTCTACCTGCGAGCAACGTTAAATTAGACTTAAACACTATTTGCTTGTTTATATATTTAACAATGACACAGTGGTGACTCTACAGCAAAGTCGCTGGTCCCTAAAAGGAAAGAGTTGTTATAAACGGCAACGGCAAACACTCAGTGAAGCTTGTAATCAAAATGGCGTCTTAGCAACCGTCGTCAGGGCGTGAAGCTGGAGACGTTTACGATGAAAACACTCCACTCTGTGCGCGACGTTTACTCATGTGACAAGGAGATAAGATTTTCAGCTGTGATGTTTGGGGTTAGAGGTAAAAGTAAAAAAAAAAAAAAAAAGTAATTTAATAATAATAAATAATTTAAAGGGCCCGTGTTACGCCATTTTCTCATTTATATTATAATGTTTCCTCGTCACAACTAGTACGATCTTTAAAGCTGCATTGTGTAACTTTT